TTGTCAATAAAAAACTTGTATGCTTGTTTCGAAGGTTCTGAAGTCGGACTGGATGTGAAGCCAGGATGAGAAGAGTCAATAATATTAAAGGTAACGCTCTACAGGGCTATCCAGGGCAATCGATGCTTTCATGGGCATTGATCGAAATTGAAAGAAAACCCGAATGAATTACTTATTCACCTAGACATTAGCAAAAGGTAGATTTACGGTCTTTTGATAAAACTGCATTCTACAAGTTTTTATTGACTGCTTTATTATCGATTAGAAGTTGACACGGTAATTCACTCCGAATTAATAACTCTCATCATCATTGAAGAGAACACTGGTGCTGTTGAATAGTGTTTTTCTATCACCAAAAACCTTAAATTTATTCACTATCGCTTTGCTGTAGTTCACGAGGTGACCTAATAAACTATCAGCTGTGAATATAACTACCGGATAAAGGAGCGAAACACATATCCGCAAGATCTGATGGCTTACTTACCGAAAGGTAAATTCGATGCCAAATTTTCAACGGATGCATTGAGGAATAGTTATACGAATTTGTCGATTCCGTACTGACGGTGTCACCTCGACTGGAAATGAAACGTTTGCATTCAAACTGCCAAGCTCGCGAAAACACAGCAACAACCAATCCCAGAAACGTATGCCGTGTAGGATGGCCCTACAGATCTCCACGTATATCTTAATTCGTGTTTTCTCTGGATCGGGTAGTTGCACTGTGGTTCAGAAATAGTTTATTCAAATATTGCCATTACAATTACGGGCTTGCACTGCTAGAAAATTCGGTGTTGGTATCGTGGATGTTCCTCTGGTATTAATAACGAACCTACAATCCACAAAACCGGAAGTCTAGAACCAGTAGATCGCTCCATATTGTTATATCTCCCCTTCAAAAAATGCTGAAAAAGAGAGCTAAAACTAGGTGGCCAGAGAATAACCGATGACGAAGAGCACGGTGACAAAAATGTTTTTGGGCCTAATTCGCAGTTTTTGCAACATGTGCTGCCAGTCACATTCTGAGGCGCAAAGTGGGCTTGATTATATGTACGGAACATAGA